CCCTGCCCGCCTGGGAGAGAGCCGGTGGAATCGAACCTGGGTCCCTGAGGAGTATGGAGACCATTCAAATCGCGTTTCTCCCAGCCCCTTACAAAGGCGGAAACGGAGGCTCGACGTGGACCGTAAATTATCCAAAACCTCTGCGTCTTCGCACCTGCCTCGAACACCCCCTTCTTTCTCTGGTTATCCCCTCCACCCACCGACACACAAGCACCCCGCCGCCTGCAGACCTTTAAAACAACGCCAGTGCCCGGGCCACCCCGAGCGGCGTGAGCATTTTGACAAAATTCCGCAGGAATTCTGACGCGCAGCCACCCACAGATTCCCACTCCTTCAGGTACCCACTGCTCCATCTTGCAGCTGGTTACGACGTAAACAAATGTGCAGACTTCTAGTTTATCCTGAGTACCAGTGCTCAAAGAACGCAAGTGTGTGTGTGTGTGTGTAAAGACTCTCAACCCAAAGTCTAACTGGGAAATTAGGAAGCCAATTGAGGAACCGGATGAATAATTGCATCCACACAATGGAATGCTATGCATCATTTAACATTACATAAATAACTGTATAACTGACAGCCTTTTGCAATATATTGTTAAAAGATAAAAGTATGTTCCCTATAAACGAGAGGCAGCTGTTGCTCAAGCCTTATGAGCACACAGGCCGTGTGGAGGCAGACATGTGGACCCACTTATGCAGTGTGACCTTGGGCAGTTTAGCTGTTCTAAGCCTTAGTTTTGCCATCTCTAAAATGGGAATAGTGTCCCCACATAGTTGTGAAGATTAAATGGGATCATCTGCACATTCTTTGATAATATTTATTGAACACCTCCTGTCTTCTGAGAGCTTCCAGTCTAGTGAACAACCGTTAAACAAACAAACAAAAAACCTAGACAATAAATAGTACAAGTGATCAGAGAAAAGTAATGGGGTGTGATGAAACAAGGGATCTGACTTGGGATGTCAGGAAATCTTCACATTTACTAGTAAGATGAACCCTGACATCATGAGGAGAACTGCATATGGTGTTGGTGTAGCTGGGACAACAGACAACATGGACAAGGACCCAGAGGCAGCAGACGCTGCTGCCAGCCAGTACTTAGTAAGGCCTGGCATGCAGTAAGTGCCCACACAAAGCAGCTACTGTGATTGAAAAGAACAGGGATCTACATGCTTACATGAAAGGCAAATGGACGCAAGGCACAACAGCTGACTGTCAGTCATGGTTATGGGAATGGTGGGTTTAGGGCAAATTTTACTTTCTTCTTGATCTTTCAGTATACTTTTTATAATGAATTGTATAACATAAATAGTCTTATTTTGGGGTGGGAAAGACAGGACTGTTCTCATTGTTTACAGAATAGATTGGTATTGATTATACCGGTCTCACCCTGAAACAGGAAACTGAACACAAGGCACTAAGCTGGACAATGTGACCTTCAACTGTGGCTCACAGGGCGGGGAGGGAGACCATCTGCTGGTCTACCCTATGACTCACTTTGGTCCAGTGCCCTCTCATTCCAGTCTCAGTAACCCCCCCACAGGAGGCTGTAGATCAAGCATGTCAAACTCGCTGCCCATGAACCACGAGTTTGACATGAAGCATCAGGTTAAGTGGGTGGACACAACTGTTGCCACAGCTCCCAGCTGGACCTGCCCAGAGGCCCTGGCTCCTAGCAAAGTAGCCTGAGGGAGCACAAATGAAAGCTCGGTGACAAGTGCAGAAGGAAGGTGGTGGCACTGGACCCAGCCTTAGCAAATCACTGACCTTCTCCCCCGGCACTGGCTTCTCACCCAACTTAACAGCTCTTCCCGTTGGCACCCTGCCTTGGCGGGGAGAACTGAGGCTGGCTCCCAGGGATAGAGCAGCCTCGGACAAGTCCCTCCTCAGGACCTGGATTTTTTGTATGAAGAGGGAGGGCTGGACCAGATGACCATTGTGTCCAGACACCCACCACTGACTGGCACTTACTACAGGCCACAGAAGAGAGCTTGGCGTGTTTTTCATTGACTGCTTTTGATGCCTCCCCTTGTAGGCCTCTGCTCGGTGTCTATCTCCTCCCTCCTCCCCCATCTTTCAGGACTCAGTTCAGATATTGTTTCATCCAGGATTAAGCCAAAATATGTACCCCGTAGTTTAACACAGGGTAGACGTCAGGGTGGAAAGTAACCTCTGGTTTTGGGTAAGTTGAAACAAGGATTGAGGCTTATCAGGTGACAACAGGGCAAGTGCCATCATCAGCTTTGTGGTCTTAGAGCAGAAGTGGGGACATCCAGCTTGGGGGTCTAATCATTTGGTCTGGCTCTGCCAAGGCATTGGGGTGAGTTAATTAAATATCTGACCAAATATACCAGGCTAATTTTTTGTTGTTAATCCTCGCCCAAGAATATTTTCTCCATTGATTTTTAGAGGGAGTGGAAGGAAGAGGTTGAGACAGAGAGAGAAACATAGATATGAGAGACACATTGATTGGTTGCCTCCCATGCATCCCAAGCAGGGCCAGGGGTTGGGCCAGAAACCGAGGTACGTGCCCCTGACCGGAATAGAACCCAGCACCCTTCAGTCTGAGGGCCGATGCTCTAACCACTGAGTAAAACCGCTAGAGCAGCGGGCTAATTTTTAAGTTGATAATTTTGTATGGCCGGAGAATGACCTTATAAATATCCCTTGGCAGAAAAAAGATTCCCTATCCCTGTCTTAGAGGATGCATCTGTGAAGAAGAAGGAAGGAGAAACTAAGCCAGTAAACTCTTTATTTAGGGCGCAGGTAAGGAAAGAGAAACCGGGAAGAGGCAGAGCAGACTTAGACCGAGGGCAGAGAACAAGGACAGCACAGTGGCCCCAGGCCTGGGAGGATCCTCAGGAACCTTCACAGCATTTCTGGGCAGTGACGGGACAGCCGAGGAAGAGGTGAGGCTGAGATGAGGAAGAAGGGTTGTGGCCAGGAAGGTTTTGCCCCCAGGGGACAGCCAGCACTGTCTGGAGACAGGTTTGGTTGTCATAACTGGGAGATGACAACAGAGATCTACTGAGCCAAGAATGCCACTAAGCATCTCACATACACAAACCTCCTCACAGCAGAGAATTATCTGGTCCCAAATGTGAGCAGAGCCCTGCCTTAGGGGATACTGGGAGCGCCCAGATTTTCCACGGGTGTCTCAGATCGTGTCTGGAAGCTCAACAGACAGGAACAACGTCCAAGACCATGCTGAACGCACCAATGAAGACATCACTGTTGGCACCAGCAGGCACCCTTGGGGCTGATCTGGCCACTAGGAATCCCCCTGGCCCCAGGGGGCCACTGTTTCCACTACCACACTCACATGGTGCATCTGTTTAGTGGCACTTCAGTCACAGAACTGAATGCTTGCTGCAAGGAGGCTGGACACACGAGTACCCTAGGACGTCTGCAGCTCCCAGCAGGGGAGTGGACAGGCTCTGCCTACAGCGGGACTCAAGGTGGAGCCCCGGAAACAAGTGGCCACACAATCAACAGTGCAGCAAAGGGAAGGAGAGGGGGGAAGCAGGGTAGCTCTGTTTGTTTGTCTGAAGGTGTCAGATGGGAAAACGTGGAACCATTTGAAGATGGAGAGGAAGAGATCAACCAAGATGGAGAAGCTGACGGTGTAGAAGGAAGTGCCCAGAAGGATGAATGTACCAGATGGGGCAGAGGTGAAGATGGGCAAGACTGGACCCCTCTCTTTGGCTGGGCTTATGGTGGGCGCTCAGCAAACCTGGGGGACGAATGAAGAACCATCAGAGAGGGACAGTCATTGAGAAGCCAGGGCCCGCCTTGGAGAAGCGTCCAGATGCTATCATGTTCCCTTTGCCAGTGAAGCTACGGGACAGAGAAGGGGTGGACCAGGGTCACTCAGCAAGCCTGATGGGCTGGGACAAGACTCGGGTCTCCCTTGGCTCTGGTGGTGGTGGTGGTGGTGGTAGGTTCTGGGGTGGTTATGTCTCCCCTTTTAAGAAGCAGACCCTGGCTTTGCAAGGTCAAAGAGACAGAGCGGGAATCCCACCAGTTAGGCAGAGCACAACTGAAGGCAGCTGCTCACTCAGGCCCTGCAGCTCCCCTGCCTTGTGACCACGGATCCCTCCTGAGCCGGAGAGCTCACTGTGACTGATGCAGCGTGGGGCAGCCCTGCCAGTACAGCGCAATCTCCTGCAGCCCCCAGGCTGAGGGTCTCCGGCACTGCCAGAAGGGAGAGCTGGCTCTTTCCTACGCTTGTTCTATGACTGTCCTGTTAGCTGAGGATAGAGATCATGTGGCTCCAAGGTCAACTTGGATAAACACCCACCCAGGACACGCCCAGTCCCTTTCCAACACTGACCTTCAGCGAGGACAGAGCAGAGAGTGGATTAGGAGGCACGAGCCAAGCCCCTGCTTTGCTGCCGGCCAGAGCCTGGGCTCCCTGAAGCAGAACATCCTCCCCGGTGCTCTCTACACCTCTGCGGGCCTCTGGTTCCCAACCCAGGCCCCTCGCCGCCTGCCTGGCAAAGGCCTCACAGCTTCCTAGGGCCAAAAGCAGCTGTGATTTGCCCAGAGAGTTTGCTGACTTTTATTGTGTCTGCAGGGGGCTGGGACTTGTGCCGTGTGGCTCAGTGACACGGTGCAGCCAGCAGTGGTGTGGCACCTCCACACGTGGCTCAGACCCTGGTTCTGCGGCCTCCCCATGAGGAGCAGCAGCCAGCGAACATCATTACTCACCCACTGTGAGGGTCCAGCCCTGCACCTCTCCTGCCTCCCCCAGCACCTCCCCAGAGTTGTTTGCAGCACACGGTCTTCTCAACGCTCCCGCCAGGGAGGCCCTGGGAGGAAACCAGCCTTCTGTGGCCGTCCCTGCAGCTGGGCTCCACGCCGGCTCCCGGGGGCCAAGCAAACATGGCCTCCCTTCGCACAGGTGCCGGCTCTCACCACCGGCCAGACAGCACCGCTTCACCTTGGCCACGCTGCCTCCTCCTCTTCCTCCTGGCCCCTTGAACCACGGGCTGCCACGGGGCTATAGCTCGGATTGGGATCGCGAGATCCGCGGGCCTTTTCGGATCTCTTTCCGCTTCTCCTCTTTTTTCCGCCGTTTCTCCTCTTGTCTCAGGGCCTTCTGGAAAGGGTCGGTGCTAGAAATGATCTGGGGGGAGAGAGAGTGGTCTGACTTAGTCCACTGGCAGCAGTTCACTCGGAGCTAGCGCACTGCGGGGACAGGAGGGTTGCTTAGACGCAGGCCCTGCCCTCAGGGAGCCAACAGAAGTGGAGGTGGCTAACTGGGCTTGGGGACAAGGCTAAGTGGGTTCTGAAAGATAAGCGAGAGGCTGACAGCAGAGGGGGAGGGCAGGAGGACATTTGGGCACAGGGACAAGTACCAAGGTTGAACAAGCACGGGTACCTAGGAACGATAAACAGAATCCTCCTTGAGTGAGGGGCCGAGTGCCCGACAACCGCAGACCACCCCCCACGCCCTGGCTGCCATACCCCTGCGGAGGAGGGGAGAGCAGCCCGCGGGCAATAAGAGACAGCAGGCATCCTGTCTCGGCAAGGGAGTGCCCAGGAAGCAGGTGGATCAGAGGTCAAACTGACAGACCCTGGAAGGGGGCGGGAGAAAGAGAAGACAATAGTGCCAGGCTCCTGGCTCCACAGAGGGTGGATGGCGGTGCCGGTGAGGAAACGGAAACACAGGGTGAACAGGGATGGGAGGAGGAGGAGGACTTTGATTGGGGGCACTCTTCTCCCTCTGCTCTTTCCAAACCCATGGCTCCATTTATGTCTATCTGGCCAGTTAGCCCTCATATGTGCACCTCCATATCCAAGTGCCTGCTTGGCACCTCCCCTGGGATGTCCCAAATGTGCCCCCAACTTGGCATGGCTCCATCTCCTCAAAACCCAGCCCCTTCTAGCGTGGACCAAGATAGGAAATATGATATGCCTCTGAAAATGTTGTAAAAATGCCCTTGCCCCATTCACAGCTGACCCTTTTGGACAAAGATCTGGGTGAAAGTAAGGGATGATCAGAGAAAAAGTGACATTATAGGTCCTGGGATATGACATGCTGATCTTGTAGCAAAATCCAGTGCCTAGCGAGAAAACACCTTAGATCCCAAGAGCCATGGGGAATGATTAACCCTCTTGGTGCCTGATATCCAGCACTGCCACTTGGCAAAACAATCCTAGGGTCTGCCCAAGCCAAGTGGCAGCTGCAGATGACAATCTGACCAACTGCTGGATGTGTCATTCTTGACCACGTGACGACTGAACTATTCGGTGTGCCGATGCCATCAAAGCAGCTCCTGAAGTGACCCTGGGAAGACACTCATGCCAGTGCGATCTTGTTTCAATCTGACAGATACAAATCCATCTTCTTCTGATGCCCGAGTGGTCTGGGGTTCTATCATGTAGGGTAAATGAGGCTGCAACTCCACAGTGACACTTAGGATTCAGCCAAAGAATGTAATGGGGACCCAAATCCAGTGTAATGTGGGAGACAGTGGCCATGTAGGGATGAGGGTAGCTGTGGGTCCATCTCCTGTCCTTGTAATTATTAGCAGTAACATCAAAGATCAGCAGGTCAGTCTAAACTCTTGTGTGGGTGGTAATGAATAATAGATTGGCCTTAGACCACACCCAACTGTCTAAAATAAGACCTTCTGGTCTCCCCAAAACTGACCACAGCCGGCTGAGTCCAGGATCCTGGAGCACACGGCTGAGATCAATTCTGCAGGCTGGCCTCATCCTGCGGCTTGTCCTGTGGATGGCGGCCTTAATTAAATGCAGAATGAGACAAATGGAACGAACAAGATTCTAGCCCCTGTCAGTCAGATTGACAGACTGAATAGTACACTCATGGAATCGGAGTTAAGCCAAGACCTGTAGGGCGGAGGGATGGCCTGTGGAGGAGGCAATCGACATGGTCTGAGCATCCCTGCGTGCTCCTGCTGGATACACCAAGAACGCAAAGCCCTGACCACTCTGCACCTGGGCCATTTCTCAGGATTGTGCCTGCAGCGAACCTTGAAGGATGAGGAGATATCTCTCCCAAAACAAAGAGCAGCTTTACTTCTGTTTGCTATAAATTGGTAAGCTTCCCAAGCTTAGTATTTTTCAGCTATGACGCTGTCTGTGTGGCATCCACCTGAGCCCCTCTGTGTCACTCATGTGGGACTCAGGGAACAAGGGGAACTAACATGACCAGTCCAACAGTCTAGCCATGGCTTTCGCTGTAGTAAAACTCTGATGCCTCTGACCTGTCAGTATCCATGCAAGCAGAGTATTATAATCTGACAGCCCTCACCGATCCTGACCCCTTTCCCCTCCTCAGAGCAGGGGCCAGCCTGTGATTTGAGGAGTCCAGTCCTCCAGCCCTTCTTTCCTATCCCTCTGGCCCCCTCTGATCCCCTTCTCTCCTCTACTGTATGTGTCCCCATCTGTCATCCTACCCACAGCCTCAGCCCGAGAGCCACCTCAGCCCCTAGAATGACCACATGTGCAGGAATGTAGGATGGAAGCCCGGCTGGGTGAGTAAAGGCTGAGGACAGAGAAGAGCATGACTTGACCTCCCCTGGCTTCCCTCACATCCACCTGACGTGGGTGCCTACTGTTCACGGCCTCTGCTGCCCCCACAGCTGGGGTGCACATCCCATGGACAGACAGGTGGCCTGAGGCTAAGACAAGGGCAGTGGCTTGCCCAAAGGCACTAGTAAGGGAGTGATGGTTCCTGGATCCAGACCCAGGCATGTCTGGCCCCAAGTCCAAAGCCCTCACACTCCCCCACAGGCACCCCAGCCCCTGCAGGGCCTGGCTTCCCGGCCCAGCAGAAGCAGGACAGACACAGCCATAAGCCGCAGAGCTCACCTCTGTGTGGTCCACTTTAAATGGGTTCTGGAAGTCAGAGTCTTTCTCGCTGATCCCCAGCTCCTGGGCCATCTGCAGATGAGGAAAGGTGAGTCATCTCTGCCTTCTCCTGCCTCTTCCTCTGAGGCACTCCCTCCGCTTGGAACCCAGGGTCCAGGACGGCGGGCCAGGCGACGGCCCATAGGGACCCAGGTCAGCAGAACCCCTTGAGATGGCACCTCAAGGTGCCTTGAGGCTTATCACAGAAAACGCAACCGAGAGCTGACACTCAGGCCCAGCTGCAGGCGGCTGCGAGGCTCACAGGACACTGGGAGACAGGGCTCCGGACCGTCCCCGCCCCAGGCCTCACCAGGCTGAGGATGGGCGAGTGGGGCCCCTGGTCAAAGACGCCCGACTGGTTGCAGAAGCTGATGCCCCAGCGGATGAGGAGGTTCCAGCTGGAGTTGTGGTCGAAGTAGTGGTGCACGATCCGCGGGAAGCGCAGCGCCAGGTCGCCGAGGAAGGCCGTGTTCTCCAGCACCTGGGAGAAAGCTGCTGAGAGGAGCGGGTGAGTGCCAGGGCAGATGCCCTGCTGCCCTCCTGGCCAGCCCCAGCACTCCCCGACAATGGAGGCAAGCCTACCAGGCCCAGGGAGCAGAGAACGGACAGTTGTGCCAAGAGCTTTGTGTCCACCGAACCACGTTTAGAGGGAGATGTGGTGGCCGTTCCCCTTCCACCCGGGAGAAAGTGAGTGGCAGATCTGGGCTGAGAACCCAGCTCGGACTGACTGCAAAGGCCCCGTTCTTCCCCCCACCCCCACCCCCCCCATCTCACGGCTCAGAAGGCTCATTTGCTGTGGGACCAGAGAGGTGGGTGTCATTCTGCACCAGGAAGCAGACGCATCACATGAGGCTTTGCTGGGGCTTATGCTCCCCAACTTAGTATCCAAATGTCAAGAGCCTGGTGTTAGCACAGCCACAGTGTCTGCGAGGGGTCAGGGCTGTTAGCATGGCCAGGGAACGCGACAGGCTTTGTTTTTAAAAGATATCCTTCCAATTTTATTTAATTTTAAATACTTCTTAAGTACTTATTTTGAAATAATTTTAGACTTATACAAAACACCACAAAATCCCTTCCCTGGGCTTCCTCTATTGTTATCTTACATAACCACTGTACAACTATCTACACCAGGAAGTTCACATCGATACAATACATCCACAGGCCTTATCTGAATTTCATCAATTTCTCCACTAATATCCTTCCTCTTTTTAAAAAATATATTTTAATGTTTTTTTTACAGAGAGGAAGGGAAAGGGATAGTCAGAAACATCGATGAGAGAGAAACATCGATCAGCTGCCTCATGCACACCCCCTACTGGGGATGTGCCTGCAACCAAGGTACATGCCTTTGACCAGAATCGAACCTGGGACCCTTCAGTCCACTGGCTGACACTCTATCCACTAAGTCAAACCGGTTAGGGCAATATCCTTCCTCTTGTCAACAGGTCAGGCTAGACTGAATTTAGTGTCCTCCATGGTGGCAGGTCCCCCGAGCCAGGTCACATGAAGAGTAAGTGTAGACCCAGCCCTGGCGGCAGCTCCTGTTCCAGTGCCTGCAGGCAAGGCCCAGGCAGCCTCAGCAGCACAGGCCAGGCCACGCACAGAGAGAAGCAGACTCCTCCAAAGATATGCCCCTCTGGGTCTGAGCCACGTGGGACCAGACCCCTGGGCTTCAAACCATCTTGCACTCAGGAGTAAGCTTGACTTACAGGTTAAGAGCCAAGTTACATGTATAACTTCCTCAGTTACAGAGGACATTAGAGATGCTATTTGTAAAAGTGCCCACCATTCAGTATGTCAAGGCCACTGCCATCCTCTCTCAGTATAACCTAAGAAGTTTTATTATTAAAATACCAGCACTTCATCAGAAAATTACCACCGGAGAGAAATCCTTGGAAGAGGGAATAAAGGGACCCAGAATAGTCTTTTACCTTATTTATCTCCTAGAGGCCTGATGCACGAAGATTGTGCAAGGGGCTCGGCCCTCACAGCCCCGGCTGCCTTGGCCCCCCAACCCCCTCCCACTGGTCGTTCCGCTGTCGGATCTCATTAGCAGATTAGCTCTTTATTATATAGGATGTTTGTCCCACTAGTCTCAAAAAGGATTTAAGGAGGTTGAGGCCTTTAGAACAGTAGTAAGGAGTGTGGGAACTGCCCCCACTGTCCAGTCACTTCAGTAGGCCTGTTTTTTCTCCTGGAAATGCAAACAACCCTTACCTTCTCTACCAGAAGGATCATGGGGTGGAGAAGGCAAGGATCCCCAGCCGGGTAGTGGACAGCGCTTCCTCCCTGGTTCCTGTGCTCCAAGCACAGGGCAGCACAAAGGAATACATTTGTGCAGGGACATAGACATTGGCTCTGAAGCCCAGAAACTCTTGGAGAACCATATACTAAGTGTTTATCCACTGAAGGGGACACTTGGGAGGGGCCACAAGAGGGTATTTCCCGGGAGAGGAAAGAGTGACAAAAACAGGAGGCAAGGAACAACTAGAGAAGACCGAGGTGGTGGAGAGGAGAGGGAGCGATCAGGAAGACTTACCGTCCTTCAGTTTCTCGTCCTGGGGGAGGGGCCCTTCTGGGAGCACGTCCGCAGCAGTGAGCACTGTCCGGGAGTCCTCCAGCACCTGAGGGAACCCCACCAGCTGAGTGGCTTTGCAGAGGCCTTCACCGCCCAGCCACAGCCGTTTCCTTAAACCCCACTTCAAATCTTTTGTGCATGCAGTGCCCTCTAAGTGAACACCATCCCGTTAACGAACTCCTACTCATCCTTCAGTGCCCAGATCAGAGACCAGGCCCGCCACGAGCTGCCCCGCGCCTGCGTGCACCTTAAAGAGCCCCTGGAGCATGACGTCAAGGATCTTGTACTGCTGGTGGACATCCTTCAGCTGCACCAGGTTCTTCAATGCCAACAGCTGCTCCCGCCGCTTCACCTCAAACAGCTTCTTGTCTGGGCAGCATGGAATGAAGGAGCTGGCACTGATCCTTCTGTCTGAATGATCCCGTGGCCCCAGCCCAGAAGGCCCACTCCTGACCTGCAGATGTCTGCAAAGGCCACAGGCGCCGAGGTCTGAGGCGCTCCCTCCCAGACCAGAGAGTAACAAACGGAGAAACTTGCCTCCTGCCATGTATCATGTGTCCAGTGGACAGAGGATTCTACAGCCAAGAGCCTGAACACAACCCTTCAGGCCCTCGCTCCCATATGTCTTCCCCATGGTCCTCCCATCATCTCCCGCAACTCTGCCCGATCCCCAGGTCTCTGCTCCTCTGCTCACACTGAACACTCTGCCTGGGATGCCTCCAACCCTTCTCTGTGAGTTTTGTGGGTTTTTTGTCCTTACCTAAGTATATGTTTTTATCGATTTTGGAGAGAGGAAGCGAGAGAGAACATCCATGTGTGAGAGAAACATCTATCGGTTGTCTCCTATGCACACCCAGGGATCGAGCCCACAACCTAGGTATGTGTCCTGACTGGGAACAGAACCTGCAAACCCTTGGTATACAGGTGACTCCAACTGAGACACATGGCTAGGCGTCTATGAGCTTTCCTTTCAAGACCTAGTTCAAAAGCCAGCACCGTGTTTCTCTCATGTTCCCTCAGAGCAGTGATCACAAAGTACAATGAAGGCCTCAGAGCCAGGGACTGTCTCATCTTTGAGTCCCCAGGTCCCGAACCAGAGTAGGTGGCCCAGAATGCCAGGGCCTGAGCCCCTGACCAGGGTCTCGCCCACAAGGTACTAGGCACATATGTACTATTTATTCTCAGAGTCCTTATGGCTGTGAGAGATGTAAATTGCCTTCTCTGTTTAACAAAATAGGGAAACTGAGGCTCAGAAGGTGACTCGATCAAGGTTTGATGAGGACACCTTACCTTTTCTCTCCTATTCCCATCAGTTGGGCCTCATCCATCCCCAGAAAGCCCCCCAGCCATAGCCATTAACTGTGCCTCCAAACCCCAAAGGATACAGATCTCCAGGCTCGGGTCCACGGTGGTCCTCTGGGTGTCTGTGACTCTTGTCCCAGACACGAGCAGGACAAACAGCAAGACTAAGAACTGCCAAAGGTCCATATCCACCACCCTGGAGCGAGGAGAGTAATCCAGAGGAAGGAGGTGAGACCCGAGCATGGTGTTATATGAACAGAGTGAGGTGAGCTGAACTCCCTTGACATGACAGTTTCCAAATACCAACAACCCAGCTCTGGGAAGCCTGGAGCCCCAGTGCCTAGCCAAGGGCTATGACCAGCACACACAATAAAGACTGTGGGACAGAAGGTGGAGGAAGCAAGATAAATGTCAGCAGTGTAGGGGTGCTTAGAGCACAGGGGTCAGAGTCTGGAGCTCTGAGCTAGAGCCCTGGCTCTTCCCAACGGTGGAATGTCAGGCAAATTGCTCAGCCTCTCTAAGCCTCAGCTTCCTCACTATAAAATAACAATAAGGAGGTCACACCCTGCTTCCGAGAGGGAGGACTGGGTGAGGCACTGTACCTGAGGAAGGTGGGGCTGGTCAGTGTCATTCCTTTTCAACCCCTCCCCCCTACTTCATTCTGGCTCCCAGGAGAGTAACTGGTTAAGGGGGTCCAAGCAGTCGGAGGGGATGTTTCCCTCTTTCCCTGACTTCTGTCATCAGAAAGGAAGGGACACAGGGCAGGAAGGAAGGCAGGGCGGTCTTGGGGTAAAAGAGATGCTACTCACTCACTCTGGTACCATAGGCACCATAAGCAACACCTATTCCTATTCAGGCAACGTTCTGCAATTATTTATTGAGTACCTCCCATGTTCCAGGCCCTGTTTTGGAGCTGGGAATACAGCAGTGAATAAGACAAAAACTCCCTGCACTTAAGGTAGTTATTTTCCTAGTAGGAGTAAGAGATACCCAATAAACTTGTAAAACCAGCACAGAAGAATGAGGGCGTTGGTGGGGTGCAATACTACAGTGGCCAAAGAAGGCCTCAGACACAGATGACAGGGGCCCAATTTTACTGGCGTGGAAACAGAAAAGTGAGCTAACTGCCCAGTTACTCAGCTATTCCCAGGCTAAACCGAGTCTCAATGAGCAGTCTATTTCAGAGCAGGCCACGCCCAAGGGAGAGATGGTCAGCGACTGACAGGTCACCGGAGAACCAGCCCCACCCCACAGAGGATATAACGGAAACTCAGAGAAGGAAAAGCAGTGCAAGTTCACCAGGTCTCACCTACTTCCAATGTCACGCTCCAGACTCAAGGGAACCGGACACAAACTAGAGCAGAACTCGGGGCCAGGGGGGTAGCAGACAGCAGGTAATGACTGGAGCAGGGGAAGAAGGGAAAAGAAAGCCATTGCGTGGGGAGGATTCTGCATTCTCCACTGTGACTCCCGCTCACCGCCCTGGAGCTCTTTCCAGCTCCGCCAGCTACCTGAGCGCATCCTGCAAGAGGCGTGTGGGGCGGCCCCTGGGCCAGGGCCCCGGGCTGGCGGACCCCGATTTCTGTCCCCAGTCTTTGGGGCTCCGGGAGGAGAGGAGTCTTTCCAAAGAGAAGAGGCGTCTCTTACCTCCCACTCTGGCAGCCGGATCGAACCTCGGTCTCCACGTCCCCACCAGGAGCCTACCCGCCCGGAGTTCCCACTTTCACCCACCAGCCGGGGGAGCAAGAAGGAGCAGCTGGCAGACCCTCGGCGTGCGGCTCGCAGGTCCGTCCTGAGACCAGCAAAGGCGCAGAACTCCACCGCACCGGGGAGCCGCCCCGCCCCCGCGCCGCTGCTGGCCAATGAGCGCGGGCCGCGCCGCTGCCGGCCAATGAGCGCGGGCCGCGCCGTCGCGCCGGTGACCTCCTTCCGGGTCCGCCCGCCGAGCGCTGAGACTACGCTCGCGCGAGGTCCGCAGGAGAATTGTTCCTGCCACCTGCGTCGGCTCGGGCGTGTGGTGCTCGGTCCCGAGGAGCTTGAAGGAAGTCGGGTCGGCGCCCAACTTAAAGGGCGCGTCAGCACACGGGCCCTGACCAGCCGGGCGCCCGCCCCGGGTTGTTTCGTCATCGGTTTTGGCTAGATCGGTAGTGGGTCATGACCAGCACACGCGTGTGTGTGTGTGTGTGTGTGTGTGTGTGTGTGTGTGTGAAGTAACCAGCTGTGCGGAGTTAGCACACCCCCTGCTCGCCCCTTTGGTACACCAAGTTCTAAACCCAGTTCATCGGGAACTTCTCCGTCGATTCCTTAGGACGGAGTTCAGAGCACTTTTGTGCCGGGTCAGTACCAGAGAAGGAAGGGTGGGCGGGCCAGTTCCGGGCACGGGGTCCTCACACACAGGCGGGCGGGCGGGAAAGGAGCTAGAAGCCCAGTGGGTTGAACTGGGAACAGGAGCGGCAGTTGCGGAGCACAGATTTAAAAGAACCACACTTGTGGGTATACAAGTACAAGCTCCAAGTTAAAGAAAGGAACACAGGGACCTACTGTAGCCAGGGAGGGCCGAGCTGTGACAGCTCCGCTCGGCGAGGAAGGCTCAGAAGGATTTGACCTGCTACGCTTCCTTGCCCTCCACCTTGGCGGGCGGTGAGGCGGCGGTAAAGTACCTCTCTGCACTTGGATAACAGCCCGGAACTATGGCTTTCCTCTGCTCCTCCAGCCCTGAGGATGGATGGCCCGGCTAATACAACTGAGGCAGCCAGCTAGCACTGGTGCTCCTAAAGCGGGTAGGACTTGTTAGGAGGACCAATCCTACTCCCTTTTCCTGAGGAGGCCACCCATCCTGGCTGAGGAACCAGCTGGAAGAGGCCAGGGTAAGTTGAGAGTAAAATGTTTTTGGAGTGCTCACCAGGCATGTGAGTGAATCACTTTATTTCCTGATTCAACAATGGAGGAACAGGCTCCAGGTGAATGGCTGCAGTTGTCATCCATTTCCCAAACCACTGTGCCCAGGTCTGCTCCAGGTCTCAGTCCTCCATTCTGGGCCTGCAGTGGTTGAGGGTCAGTCTCTGATGTGGGACAGGGAGACAGCCACACCTCCCAGGCAGCTGGCAGCGACACATGAGAGGAGAACAGCAGAGGTAGGGCCAACCGTGCGAGGGAGAACACACTTCCAAAGCCCCAAGGGTAAAAATGGCCGGACAAACAGAGGTTCCCTCTCCTAAGAAGAGTGGGACTAGATTCTAAAATTGGAACCTGAACACCTGGGTTAGATGGTTGTCTACCACAGGGAACTATTCCATGGAAAAAGGAAAGGGGGGCCCAGAAAGAGAGCAAGTCCTGACCAAATCAGCTCAGTGGATAGAGCTGTGGACTGAGGGGTCCCTGGTTCGATTCCGGTCAAGGGCATGTACCTTGGTTGCTGGCACATCCCCAGTGGAGGGTGGGGGGGTGTAGGAGGCAGCTGCTCAATGTTTCTCTCTCATCGATGATTCTAACTCTTTATCCCTTTCTCTTCCTCTCTGTAAAAAAATCAATAAATATATTTTTAAAAAGAATAAAGGGAGCGAGTAAGAGCTGGAGAAAGCACCTCCATACACATACACACACCTCCTGATCAAAGTGTCTCTGGAGCACCACTGCAGCCCCCAGAGGGCTGTGCCCACTGCCCGCAGCCCCAGGCTTTCTCAGAGACATGCGGCCATCCAGGTGGGGCCGAGGGAAGCACCTGTGCCAACTGGGCTGGTGATTTTCTCCAAAACCCTTGGGGAAGGACCAGCTCCTCCCTGCGTATGGCGTTGTGGCTTTGGAAACACGCAAATCTGGGATCAAACCTGGATGTGATGCTGGGCAAGTCACTTAACCTCTCTGGTCTAAGTTAACAACAGTAACACTCCTAGATGCTGTGAGGATTAGTACAGTGCCTGTAATGGGACTGCCCTAGCTTCGTACACAGAACAAGTCATTGTCGCTGCTCTCACTATTCATTATTTTCACTGCCCGCTGCCTGCTTTAGGGCTGTAAGGCAGTGCACCTCTGTCCTGCAGCAGGATGCCACACCATCCCACAGCCTGAGTGACGTTGCACCGGCCAAAGCTTCCAGAGACCAGAAAGGATACAGCATGTCTTGTCGGGGAGGCTGGGCTGAGGAGGCCTTGGGGGAAAGGCCCTCCAAGGAGGCCTGCAGGGTCTGGGCCATGTCATGATCAGTCAGGAGGCCCGTGCTCTGAACCTAAGGGAAGGAAAGGGCGAGGGAAACAGCCCTTTTCAGAGCCTATGCCACACAGGCCTCTCTATCCTCTACCTCCCCAGCCCCCCACCCTGGGCTCCAGACCCCCACTGGCTACTCCCACCCTCCACCGAGAAGATGGTATGGCGCCTAGCATCAGGGTGGCTACGTGCACCCCTTCCCACACACCTGCAGGAGGAAGCCACACAGAGCCTGGAGCGTGGTGGTGGAGAGGGCGGAGAGGTCGGCCGAAGCTGCGCCTTGCAGAACCAGACCCACCTCTTCGGGAGAGAAGACGCTGCTGCCCTGGAACCGCACAAACTGGCCCCGGAGAGAAGCCCCACACGGGCGGTGATGCCGCATCGCCTTCATCCAGGCGCTCCTCCTGTACTCCCGCTGTGCTCAGCACTGGCTGAGAACACAGGTCTGTGCCCCAGCACCCGTCAAGGAGCTCAGAGTTGGTGAGCACGGGTGGGGTTATGTCATGGGAGAGTGGGGTCAGTGAGGCAGATTGTGACACCCCAGAGTTGCAGAACCCTTCAGTACGAACCACCCCCACCCCTCTGCCTTGCACCTCCCACTCCCGGCCAAGGGGGACTGTGTGTGGTTACCCAGACACACCACCGTGGGTTCACGTCCTGCTGCTCCCGCTTCACTACCTGATTACGTCTCCTCCTCTTCACTCACTAATCCTTCAAGCCTCAGCTAAAACACTCACGAATGAATGTTCTTTCGTTGTTCTTTTATTCACCTCCCCCTCCCAGCTCTGGCAGCGTCCTGCTCTCTTCTTTAGTCACTTACTCTCTTCCCTTCCTCGCACTGATTCCTCACTGACCACTTCACTCACTCACTCACTCACTCACTCACTCACTCACAGGTCACTGCTGTTTATCCAGTGGGCACTTACTGCCCATCAGGCACTTAGCCTATCTTCTGTTCTACCACCAATAACATCACACTTGAA